AAATTAAAAATTAATCCAATAAATATTTTATAATTATTTACTAAGTGAAATAATTAAAAAATATGGTTAATAGTAAATTCTTAAAATAATTATTAATTTTAAATTGTTCAATAATGATTATTGTACTTACTCTCTAAAATATAAAATCATATTAAGAATTATTTAAATTTTTATTTTAAAATAAAAATTCAAATGATAAAAATTAATAATTTATTTCTCGATCCAATATATGTATTTGTCTTATTCTTCTTCACACCAATTTCATATTTATAACATATAGCTGCTTTAAAAATTCCCATAGAATTATCTGTCTTAGCTGCTTTTTGATAATATGTAAATGCTTTATACATATCTCTTTTAACCCTAATTTCTAAATAATAACAATAGCCAACTTGATATATTCCGCTCAAATTATTCATATATGCAGACTTTTGATAATGAATAAATGCTTTATTTTCATCCTTCTCAACTCCAATTCTATATCTGTAGAAATAACCAAGCCAGAACATTCTGTCTAGATTATTCATATCTGCTAATTTTTGACAATTAATGAAATTTAATTAATTGAAAGAATCTGCTAGTTTAGTAATATTATATAATAAGTTAATTTGAAAATCTTTAATTGACATTTTATATATTAGAAAAATATATTATCTGAAAGAACTGAAGGATTAAATGCTAGATATATAAGTTAAAATTACTATTTGAAACAAGTTCTAATTAAATTTACTAGGTATTGTACTATATAGTACATACTAAGGAATAACTTTTGGATACAGAATTAAGTTTGCTTAACCTATTATATTGTACTTTTCTAATAGCTAATGTTTAAGTTTAGTGAAATTAGTAAAAAAAAATCTTCCTAGTATACCTCAAAAAAGTTACATAACTCAGTTTAAATTTTAGTTAATTTGAGCAGAATTTGAATATAAAATTAGAGACAGAATTGGAGTTTAATTTAGATAAAATTCAAATATAAATTTTAGCAGAATTAGAATATAAATTTGGCAAAATTAGTATATAAATTTGAGTAAAATTAGAATATAAATTTAGGCAAAATCATCAATAAGTAATATAATATAATTTTTTTTAACTATTTCTGATACAGATATCTAGAAGTGCATATAGTACTCTTTTATTTTACTATAATTTGTAAGGTTCTTACATGTAACTTAAGTCTATAATATTATATTATATCTTAGGTCTCTATATAGTGCATGTACTTCAAATTTAAAATGAAAAGTAAAATTATGTCTTTGATTAGTAACATAACAATTTTTAATTTAAATATAATTTAACTCAAGATAGAACTTATTAACTTGTATAGTAAAATAATAAATTACTTAAATAATCATATTGTTAAGGGTATATTAAGTACTAAATATATATTTGTTAATTATTATTATTTTTATTAACAATGAAAAAATAGTTACTAGTGATGAATCATATTTGTTAGCTAAGTTTGAAAGAGCAAAAATATGCTAGATAGATTTAAGTAAGAAATAAAAAAAATAACATATATATAGTGTATCTTGCTAACAAGGTTTTAGAATTGCAATGACAAATAGAAGACTAAAAGTAGGAGATTTTGGAGTTGAAAAAGTGATTAAATAATTATTATGAAGAATAATTTGAATAAGATAGCTATATCAAGAAAAATATAAAAAAAAATAATAATCTTGTCAAATAATAAAATTTTTATTATAGTAATTAGAGTAAGAAATTATTGAAATTGTGAAACATGAATGAGACTTTTTATATGAAGATATTAATTCTTTGATTAGAGATAATGATAGAGTTTCTTTAAATAGATTATTAAATTATAAACTACAATTATAACTAAGTAAACATAACTAAGTTATTATAAAGTTTATTAAAATATTAATATATAATAATGTTGATTATACAGATTACTCGAATATAGAAAAAAAATATAAAATAGTAATAGCTATTAACTTAATATATAAGTTTAGATACAGAAAATATGTGTTAAAAATAAATCTTATAGTATTAGCTATAAAGTATTCTATCATAAGATCAAAAACTATTATTAATATTAACAGTTATATCACCTGTTTAGAAAGTTATTCATATTTTCAAAATTAGTTAGATAGATTATTCGAAGAAGAAGAAGAATTACTCAATAGACTTTTATTTATAATATTCAATAATAAACAAAAAAAGCAGAGAAACTATCTTAATTATGAATCTAATATAGTAATATATAATATTATTACAAGTTTTGTTGCTTTTAATATAGAATTTCAAAATTAAATTCAATATACTACCACATTTTGGTTATCTAGTTTCTATAAGTTATAATATGAAAATCTTTTCAAAATTATACCAAAAATGCAAAGAAAAATAGATAAAGAACTACATAATTATATTTTTGAAATTTTAAATATGTTATTAGAAGAATATTATCTAAGACTAATAGTATTAATTCTCTTATTGTTAGTATAAAATTGAATAGCTATTGTAACAAGTAATACCTTATATATAATAAATGAAATATCAATAATAGAATGCAAATTTATTTAAAATATTCTACTTAGCTACCTAAGCTAGCTAAATTATAAGAAAATCAAGTTCTAGAATTAAAAGAAGATATAAAGAACTATCTAATTATCTTTAAACTATATAATATTGAAGTGAAGTTAAGTTCATATACTTTACTAAGAATAAGTATCACTCAAAACTATCATCTGATAGTGATATTAAGATTTCAGAAATTTTTATATCTGATTCTCTTGATATTAATCCAAACTCAATTGCAAATATCAAAAAAATTTTTCTTCATATAGAGAAAATTTCTAGTGTTAAGAATAGAATATGCAAATAGGTAGCTGTTATATGTAATAGTATTCTGTATAACTATATAACTAAGATAAAATACAAATATCTTTAGCTAGTTCTTGTTTGAAGACTATTTGATAAACATTACTAGAAATTTAATAATTTATATAGATAATACTATACAAATTTTTATTGGCCAGATCACATATGTTATTTTCAATTTTTATTGGTCAAATCATATTTATTCTAAAAAAGTAGTCAAATTTTTTAAAAAATTTAATTAAAATACAAGAATTTGAAAATATCAAGAGTAGACCATGTTCCTAGTCGATGTACCACAAATAGGAACTATAGAATTATATAAAATAAAAAGTTAAATTATGTAATATGATGAGTTCAAATTATATACTAATGCTAATCACTTCTAAAATTATACAAAATAATAATAAATTATATGATTTTTTTAAACTCACCAATAAATTTTATTTATTTATTAAAATTTAAAACATTTAATATACTAATAGAATTTTCAGATAAAATTTGTCTGTTATCTGCTAAAATTCTATTATATATAGAAAACTATACTTCATATTAATACTCAAAATTGATAACCAAATATAAATTAATGCTAATTTAGATAAATTCAGTAAAATTTCAAGTTTTTCTTGCCAATAATTATCTAAATCAAAATTATCTTCAAATACCTTAATTAAACCATAGTAAATTTCCTATTCTGTAATTAACTCATTTGTAAGATTTTTAAATTCTTCAATATTTATATATAATAAAATATTTTGGTGATGTGACTATAATTGAATAAAATGAAAATCAAAACATTTAGTAACATTAAAAATTGAAATAGCAGAATTATTACAGGTTATTGAGGATTTGATATATGCCTATCTGATTTTAAATGGTTATCAATCATAGACTTTTTTTCATGATTTACTACGATTTCACATGCTTTACAGAAAAGTTTTCTGCCTCTAGTATAAAAATCAGATTTATATTTTTGGCAAGACGTTCTGTAGCATTTACCATTGTATTTGAAAAAATTCAACGTAATAAAAAAAAAATTTTTAATATAATTTGTTTTTTTGTGAAAAAAAAATTTTGTCGATTTGATTTTTTTTTTTTCGTTACAAAATTTTTATATATAATAGTCGATGATTTAAAATTGACCAATCAGAAGGCGCCAATTGTGATTATGCGATTTTTGGTCAAATTATGCATCGCATATGCGATGCCGCCAATTATGCGCATCGCATCGCATCGCATAATCACGAATGGTAAAAACATTACCATAAATAATAAAAAAAAAATAATAATAAATATAAGAGCATCGCTCTAATAAAAAAAAAGTCGCTTTATAGTGTGATTAATATTAATTTATATATTAATCTTAATAATAGCAAACAGGTAATTTTGTTGCAACCATTCGTGAATGGTAGCCCTATTCGAAATTCCGTGTCTTTATTTTTTTTTTTTTTTAAAAAAAAAATTTTAAACTTACTAGTAACTTTCTTTTCTTCCTTCTGAATGATAAAAAAAAAAAAAAGAAAGGACGACTTCGCCGTAGGGTTTTAGAAAAAATAAACAAGAACAACACTTAAATGATTACCTCAAATTTTGGTGCCAAGCGAACTTCAGGCTTTGTAGATTCTCCCACACGCGATAAAAGGCTTAAAACCATAGCGTGCGATGGATGCAGAAGAAGAAAGGTTAATAATCTCACAAATCTCAATATTTCTAAATTTTTAAAATAATGATCAAGAAGAAAATAATATGATTCTAATAGTATTAGTATCATATTATTTAATATTTATTTTATTTTTATTTTTTCTCTTTACTTTTTTAAAGGTTAAATGTGATGGAGATGGATACAATCATACACCTTGTAAATATTGTACTTCAGTCGGTCTAGAATGCACATATGGAAAAAATACTGGCCGTACAAATACAAATCAATCACAGATAGCATTGTCTCGTCAACGAAGAGGTTCTAATCAAAATACGAAAACAACTAAAAAAGCTACTTCTTCTTCAACCACTATTGTTACAACTTCGAATACAAACATACAAAAATCTGCATCATATAATGGTTATCACAAAACTTCACTTTCCGGTGATTCTAAAATTAGTAATAAAGATCGAAGATATGGAACACCCACTCTCTCTGGGCTCTCTGATGAAATCATGCTTACTATTTTCAAGCACATTCGCTTTCCAATTAGCTTATTAATGGTTAGCAAGAATTGGCATGAATTATCCAAGAATCATGATGTGAGGGCGAGTTGGATGATTTTTCAATTTGGTAAAGCACGTGCGCTTTTTTATGCAATTCGCTTTGGGCCAAATTTTATAAATGTTCCTACCATTAATATGATCATTGAGAAAGGAGGAATGGTTTCAAGGTACTTAGTCCAGAAGCTCTTGCTTTTATTCGGAACATATGACCAAAAATTAATAGAAACAAAGATAGAGTATAGTGTGGGAAATAAAGATATTGAACAAATTCGAAAGGTGCAAAAAAAAAGTGCTTTGCCCTGGGGCAGTAATATTCCTCTTAACGTCTTTACTTATATTCTACTCGAAGCGTCAAAACAATTAAATCCATTCAATAAACCCGAGCCTTATATCGATCTAGCTATTAAAGGTAACGATGAGGAATCTTTCCATTTTCAAAGCGATGGGCCGCATGCAATTAATCAAGCTAGACAAAAACTCGAAGAAAATTTACAATCTATCAAAGAGCTGATCTTAAAATGGAAGTTCATTCCTTTCCCCCCAAGGTCTAAGAATAAGCAGAGTGATGACAAAATTATAGAAGAATATCCCACTAAAGGCAGTTATGAAAATACTATACAATTAAATATCATCGCTAGGGAAATATTGACTCGAAGTGAAAATTCCATTGAACAAGCTAAAAAACTTTTTTCCACTGGGTTATGTTATTTAAACAATGAAAAAGATGAAAAACAAGCGTTCAAATGTTTTATGAAATCTGCAGATTTGGGACATGTCGACGGGACTTATATGGTTGGATACTGTTACCATCATGGAGCTGGAGTTATCAGAGATAAACGTAAAGCCTTCGAATATTATTTAAAGGCTTCCAAATTAGGTCACACCAAAGGAGCATTTAACGTTGGTTATTGTTATAGACACGGAATTGGAGTAGAAAAAGACGAAATCAAGGCCATAGAATATTATAAAAAAATGAGAGGTAAATTATTGCAAATCCCTTACAATAAATTTAAAAGCATTAAAAAAATAGGCCAAGGCGGATTTTCAGTTGTATATCAAGCAACATGGGAGAATCAAAATGTTGCTCTTAAATTATTCTCAAAAAAACATGAAGATTTCTCAAATGAAGTAAATATTAATTTATGTTTTTATCCTTATTAACTGGTGTTAACTATTAATTTTTGTTAATTAGTTAATAGCTTATTACATTTCAAATGTTAATTTGAAATGCTATGGAATATCCAAAGATGATTCAGGAAATGACATTATTGTCTTAAAACTTGCTGAAAAAGGTTCTTTAAGTAAAAAATATTTCTGCTGTATCAATAATGAAATGGAAAAAAAAGCTGAAATTGTTACATGATATTACTTCTGATCTCGAAGCACTTCATTATGAAAATTTTATTCATCGTGATTTGCATAGTGGCAATATATTACAAGACAATCTTGATAATGCATATATCGCGGATTTAGGATTTTCAACTTCATCTAACAAAAAACATGAGAATGATATTTATGGGGTCATGCCATACGTTGCACCCGAAATCATACAAGGAAAACCATACACAGAAGCGTCAGATATATACAGTCTCGGTGTTATAATGACGGAAATATCAACTGGACAAAGAGCGTTCGATGGATACGATTTTGATTCTGACCTTGCGCTTAAGATTTGCGATGGATTGCGACCTGGATTTGCACCAGGAACACCAGAATGTTACATCAAATTAGCCAAACTATGCATGAATTCAGATCCACAGAATCGACCAAAAGCTAATGAAATTAATTTCGAAATTAAAAATTGGATGGATCAAATAAATTCACAAGATAATAATGAAATTAAAGAGCAATTTTTAAATTCTGATTTATTAAATAAGTTATCTCCTATTGTTATCACACTAAATCATCCTAATGAAAAGTATACTAGTAATTTCATTGATACAAACAAAATATCAAATACAATTATAGCTTCTAAATTAATTGATTTAGAAATCCCTAATAATGTATAATTTTTAATAATGTATAATTTTTATGTGAAGGGTTTATATTTTTTTTCTAAAGCCTTCACGGTTAAGTTACCATGATCAACCAAATTTATTATGATAATACATAAGGGGGCTTTTATTCTGATTGGATAATTTTTGTAGATCATTTCGTGATTTTACAAAATCTGATTGGTTAATAGATTTATATTAAGAATGAGCCGAAGTAAAATATTTTGCAAGATATTAATTAAATAAAAGATATGAGATATTAATTAAAAGATACATTTATTTAAATTTAAGAATTACAATAATTTATTACAGTACTTGGATCTAATGCTATACACGTATAATTCTATGGTTGTTTTTTTTTTTTTTAAAAAAAAAAAAAAGAATCTTAAATACGGAACTATCCTTTTTTTATATTTAACTACTCAAGCACAATCCATAAAATTTCAAGAAGTATTTTTTAGAGAAAAGATATAGAAGGGCTAGAAGCCACTATAAATAATTTCGAATTAAAAATTGGTGATAAATGATTTTGGTCGGTATTCTAAAAGATTGACAATATTTTTTGTGATGGACAGAATATCTTTTTTATTGTTTTAACTAGTTCATTCGATCTCTTTTGATGTTTGCTCTTCGTTCGTAAACATCCAAAGTTGTTTTACATGATTGAGCAGTCGCAAATGCATTCCAATATATCGTTAGGTTTGTTTTGTTTTCTTATACGCATTGCAAATGTGTGATACGGTTCGTATTTGACTAAATAACTTTCATTTTTATTAAGTAGACAAATGTTTGCATTGATATCCTTTCTGATAGACCAATGGCTGTGATCTACAAAATTTTTGGCCTGCAGAACCAAAAGAGCCTAAAATTGGTGCGAGTGGTGTTATTGAAAGGGATAAGTTACAAATTGATTGTGCTAAAAAAATATATATATATTAAACACCAAAAATTTTTATTTTTTGGCAGATCGTCTATTTTTTATATTGTAAATATTTAATCTGATTTCACTTTAATCCGATGAGTGACGGAAAGGAAATATGCTTTACATTTTATGTTATTTGAAATATTTTAACGGATTATTAAAATTTTAAATGTTCAATTACTAAGATCACATTATTCCGCGGACCCATGGGTCCATAGAATCATATGATCAATAGAATGAGGGACCGCGGCCATATATTCGAAATCTAATTGTTTTAAAAGTACAATCTTGTACAAATGTTCTTGAGCATTTCAGAGTGGTTTATTTATTTATTTACTATGTCATCTCAATATGTTTCTAAGTGGTTTAATTATTGCAATTCATTAATATTTGAAACCTATCGGAATCTTGTTGAATATCACGCGACGTGTAAAGAATAATTTTTTCTGTTTCATGCTTATCTATTGAGAAAAAAGACCGTTAACATAAACTGCGCATAAATAAAAAAAGTTTATTAACCATTTAGACAAAGACCTATATTTGTAAAAAAATGCTATTAGAAATTAATATTCGGGAAAAATATGTTATTCTAAATTTTAATTTTTATATGCGAGCTAAATCATTTTAAATTATACCCCATTCCAATATCTATGTTCTGCGTCGTTTCACAATTTACCTCAATTCAAAATCGACCTAGGTCATTCTTAAATTTTCACCGATTTTGAAATAAATTAAGTCAATTCTTAATGCACGAAATTTAACTCCGAACTACGTATTAAATTTTATTATACTACAATTTTAACTTCGTATTGTATTGTGTATTTCATATTAATTAAAGTAAAAAAGAAAAAAAAATTACATAAATAAAATTTAACTTCATATTGTATTACGTATTTCATGCTAATAAAAATAAAAAGAAAAAAAAATCAAATAAATAAAATCTTTGAATGTTTAATTTATCATAACTAAATTTTTTTCGTTATTAACTTTTAAACATGGAACTTCAACGATATAACTTTCTGTCTCGCGAATCCTTTGATCGAATATTAGAAACTTTTATTCGTCAAAGGAAAAACCAACGCTGTTTAATGGATCGAACTAAATATAATAAATGTTTAACTGTACTTAAAAATCAAAATGATTCCCATAACCCAAACTTTAAGTATTGGGTAACTCATAATTTCAAAATTCTTTACATTGGTACGACCGAAGAACTCTACATGATTAAAAAAGTTGGGAATAACCTTGGGATTCAAATTTGTCCTGCTGAAAATTTTTATGAGATTATTTGTGCTGCTCATCAAGCAACAGAGCATGCTGGTCAAGACAAAACCTGGAGAAAGGTAAAATTATTTTTAATTTTTTTTTCAATAATAATTTAATTTTTAATAATTTTTTAAAAAAAGATTCGTATGAGATATTGCTTTATCCCACAAAAGATAGTTGATGATGCCATTCATGAATGCAACGTTTGCATTAACAGAAGATCTTTTATAAAAATTCCACCTATTCGACCAATAATTTCTGAGGGATTTTTATATCACGTTCAGGTAAGTGTTATACATATACAGTATATATTTTAATATGTATTTTTTTAAAAAAATAAAATAAAATAAAATAAAATAAAATTACTAGATAGATATGATTGATATGACAGCAACACCAGATAGAATGTATAAGTATATTTTCCATATTAGGGATCATTTCTCAAGGTTTTCATATGCAGAACCTTCTGAGTCTAAGACAGCTGAAGAATCTGCAGCATGTCTATTTAATTTTTGTATGACATATGGTCCTCCTATTGTATTACATTCTGATAATGGTAGTGAGTTTGTTGGAAAAATTGTAAAAGAGACTTTAAATCTCTGGCCAACTATCAAATTCGTCTATGGAAGACCTAGGAACCCACGCTGTCAAGGATTAGTTGAAAAAGGGAATAGAATTCTTTAATCTAAATTAGGTATATAGATAGAAGAAATGAACCATAAAGATTGGAATATTGGGTTAAAATTTGTTATCTGTGAATATTAATATTTATTTATTTATTTATTTTAATTTATTTATTTAATTTGTTTTTTTTTTTAATAATTTATTAAAATCTAGTAAATATCAGACTTGATATTATTAAAATATATAATATGCATAATTGTGCATTGTACTATTTATGTTTAATTTTATCATGCCTAATACGTACAATATTTTATTTATTATGTATAATATTATTTTTTTAATATTAAATAAATAATTTTATAGGGGCTATGAATAGTCAATATTGTATAGCCTATAAATCAATCCCTTACAAACTCGTATTTGGCCAAATTCTGCATTGCAATTCAAATTTAGTTGATATATTAGAAAGTGAAGAGTCATCTGAACTAGTATCTGAAGATTCCCAATCAACTATTATTTCTGAAATTAGTAATGAAACAGTAGAATTGGAACTTGATAAAATATATTTTGAAGAATCACAAGAGTTGGATAATGATATAGAAAGAATATATGAAATCAATAATAATATAGATGAAATACAAGAAATCAATAGCAATATAAGTGATATAGACAATATAGATGACAATATAAGTGATGTATGCAATATAAGTGATGAAGTGAGTGATATGAGTAAATATAAGATTTTTTAATTTTATAATGTAAACTTACAGAAATGACAAATATTACTCTTTATTTAGATTAATCTTGAATTTCATACAAAAAGACAAGAATCCAATAATGAAATAGAGAAAATTCAAGAAATCGATAACAATATAGATAGTGAATTAAATTATTTCAATATAATACAAGAGATTCATACTGATTTATATGATTCCAAAATTGGAAGTTGCTCTAAAACTATACTAGCTTCAGAAATTATTGAAATTATTGATTCAGATAATGATCTTTATGAAAACTAACATTACACTTCATAAGAAAAAGAAATGTGGCGTGCTCAATTTAAAGAAATCAAAGTTAAATTCATTTTATTTTTTTTTTTAAAAAAAATAATAATATTAATAGTCAAATATTTTTTTTTTTGTAGCTATCCTGCCTATTTTTTGAACAGCATGAAAAGGTTTGTCAATTAGTTGTTTTAAGTATTAAGAGGAATCAGAAGCTTATATGAAATAGAATAGAAGAAAAATATAGAATTAAACGTCAATGAATTTATGAAACTGGTGAATTTGTAAAAATTTGTATATCAGATATTGACAAGAATAAAATGAGTTGAAGATTATTGCCTTGTAAAGTACTACAAAAAAAGCCTAAAATTGACTCATATCAAGTTGCTTGCTAGTATAAAATACTTGAGCATTAGTATCCAGCAAGTGAACTTGAGTTACTTGGAACCTCTGATTATCCTTCCCTTAATGTAGTTCCTCTAAACAAAACTATTTCATTGAGACAAGCAAGCTTTAAGAAAGTAATAAAAGGTTAAATCAATTCTCAAGCCAAAATAATAATAATAACAAAGAAAATATTTTTATTGAGTAAGTACAATAAATTTTACATAATATTTACATAGATATGAACTAAAATTTATAATGTAATCTAACAGTAATGAAAGATTAAATCAATCCTCAAGCTGAAATAATAATGACAATAGTTTTATTAGGTAAGTATAATAAATTTATATAATATTTACTTTGCAATAAACTAAAATTTATAACATAATCTAGCAATAATCAATGATTTCTTAAAGAAAAAATTCCAATGAAAGTAACACAAAAGAATCTTTCAAATAATTGTCACTGTCAAAAAACCAATTGCAATTCTAATACTTGTTCTTGTCGAAGAAGCAACTTAATATATACTAGATATTATAGTTATGTTTTATATAGAGAATGTAAAAATATATGATTTTTTTAAAATTTATGATAAGTGATTTTTTTTAATTAAACAATTTTTTTAATTAAGTGATTTTTTTTTAATTATGGTTTCATTATGATAATTTAATTTATTAAGCTTTTCTTTTTTTATGTAAGCCTTTTTTTTATTTATGCAAATTTTTTTAATTAAGCGATTTTTTTTTAATTAAGCAATTTTTTTTTAATTATAGGAATTTTTATTATAATAATTTAATTTATTAAGCTTTTCTTTCTTTATGTAAGCCTTTTTTTTTTATTTATGCAAATTTTTTATGTTAAAGAGTGTTTTATAATATAATTAATTATATCATCATTTGGACATATAACATATATATTTTCTAAATTCTCACTGATTAGAAAATGATATACTTTATTTCAAAATTTAAGAATGACCTAGGTCAATTTTGAATTGAAATAAATTGTAAAACAATGCAGAACATCTACACGTATTAAGCAATATAGTTATTTTTGCTAAGTAACTTGTAACTTGTTTAATATTTGTACTATATTTAAAGCGGAAGTGATTCTTGAAATAAGGACAATTTTTGACAAAATATTCTTGAGCATTTCCGAGTAGAAAACTGAATATTTTATTCCTAAAATAAATACAAGAATTCTGTAAAAAATTCACTTGTATAACATTTAAAAAAATATAAATATATTATTTTTTTACTATTATTGCAATTAATATTATTATCAGGAAAAATCCAAACAAATTCCATATAATGTTTTAAAAAATATAAAAATTATTTTTTTTTTTACCTCATTCATTTTTTTTTTTTTTTTTTTTTAATTTTTAAGGTGGCTTACATGGCCGAGCGAATTTTATTAGTTTGATATATGAGGTTCCACATAGGGTTCCCCTACAG